GCCAGTGAGTTGGACGTTGTAGTGAGCCATGACTGCACCACTGCACTCCAGCCTGGCAATAGAGCAAGACCTTGTCTCAAAAAGTCTTTATTGATTAGAAAAATGTTCTGATATGCAGGTGTAACTTTAGGAAACCTAATAAGTTACTGCTTTCTTTTTAACAGCTTACAGTGCTCTCGGATCAGCAAAAAGCTAATGTAGAGGTAAAATTGACTTTATGTTTCTTTTAAACCAGTGACAGATTCTTTGTAATTTCCCTTGAATTGGCCGGGCGTGGTGGCTCATGCCTGTAATCCTAGCACTTTGGGAGGCCAAGGTGGGTGGATCACCTGAGATCAAGAGTTCAAGGCCAGCCTGGCCATCACGGTGAAACCCCATCTTTAAAAAAAAAAAAAAATTGCCTTGAATTGTAGCTTAATTTCAAATTATATCAAATTAGAAGGAGACAGACAACTATTTTCTTCTCAATTTTATTCTTAGGCAATCATGTTGGCCGTTATGAAAAAATTGACTTATGATGAAGAATATAACTTTGAAAATGAGGTAAGAATTTTTTTGTTGAGAAAGGAGTTTTAATTTTATTGTTTATTTATATCAAATTAATATTTCAAGTTTTGACTGAGTGCGGTGGCTCACTCTTGTAATCCCAGCACTTTGGGATTCCAAGGTGGGCGGATCACAGGGTCAGGAGTTTGAGATCAGCCTGTCCAATGTGGTAAAACCCCATTTCTACTAAAAAATACAAAAATTAGTCGGGCATGGTGGTGCACACCTGTAATCCCAGCTACTCAGGAGGCTGAGGCAAGAGAATTGCTTGAACACAGGAGGCAGGGGTTGCAGTGGGTTGAGATGGTGCCACTGCACTCCAGCCTGGGTGATAGTGAGACTCTCTCTCGGAAAAAAAATTCAAGTTTGTATTGTTTTGGGGCCCTTTAAAACATGAAGTTCTTGAAAAATTAGTTCATTTATATTGATACCAACCTTAGGTGAAATTAATAAAACCTCTTCCGTTTTGATATTTTATCCATTAACAACACCTCCTTTTTTTTTCTTTGAGACAAAGTCTCACTTTGTCACCCAGGCTGGGATGCAGTGGTGCCATCTCAGCTCACTGAAACCTCTGTCTCCTGGGTTCAAGTGATTCTTGTGCCTCAGCCACCTGAGTAGCTGGGATTAAGGCATGTGCCATCATGCCAGCAATTCTTGTATTTTTAGCAGAGATGGGGTTTTACCATGTTGGCCAAGTTGGTCTCAAGCTCCTAACCTCAAGTGATCTGCCTGCCTAAGCCTCCCAGTGCTGTGATTACAGGATTAATCTGTAATTAATCCTGTCTGGCCCATTAATAGCCCTTTTACAAATGCTTTGTAGCATTGAACATAGTAAAATATTAATGTTAGTGATCATATTTCACTTTATATTTTGTTGGAATGGTGAACTCCGGTCACAAGAGTGTACTGGCAGAGTGGAAATGAGGCACTCTAGACTTGTTCCAATTAAAAGTCTTTTTCAGAATTGTGAGGGGGTCAGCTTCCCATCAAATATAAGGGCCATTGGTGCTTTCTGGGTATTCAGTCATGGTATTTGCTGCTAAGCTATGTTCTGAAGTGTTGTATTCCCTACCACAGGCATTCAAAAACTTAGGGTTGTAAAAGGATAATGGTGGTAATGATGAACACACTGCACACTTGGGATGTGCCAGGCTCCTCACATTGAATATCTCCAGTTATACCATATTATTACCATTTTGTACAATGGACATTGACTCACAAGAATAAATAAAGTGCAAAGGTCTCAAAGCCCATTCTGGCGCTAGACTATTGTCTTTAACCTTGTTAGACTATTTCTGGCTTTAGGCTTTTGAGACCTATAGCTGTGTGCAGGAATACTTATTTATGAGGCAGAGGGAAGAAGTTACTAAGCATAATGTTTTCCTATGTAAATAGTGACAACAATTAAAAGTACGAAATATGTAAATGCAGAAGAATACAGAACTGGATATTTTCATGAATTTTAAGGTCTTTTAAGTTTTTTAAATGAGGATTTCAACCTGTATCATAGGGTGAAGATGAAGCCATGTTTGTAGAATATAGAAAACAACTGAAGTTACTGTTGGACAGGCTTGCTCAAGTTTCACCGGAGTTACTTCTGGCCTCTGTTCGTAGAGTTTTTAGTTCTACCCTGCAGTAAGTTTGTCATTGCTTTTGTAACAAGCTTACTACTTCTTTTGCTTTTTGATATGGGTCAAAATAAACAAGCTTACTTCTTTCACTCTTATTAGTTCATGTTGCTTATTGAGATCTTATGTGTATCTCTGGAAACAATGCACTTGTCTTCTTGACTTATCTTGATCCTTTCTACCTTTGTCATATATATTATGTTGCCTGAGAAAATTAACAATTGCTGTGACTTTTTAATTATTAAAAAGGCTTTTGTTGGTGTCTTACCCTGTGCATAATTTGCTGTATGAAAAATTTACCTTCAAATCTCACTGACATATTATACCTTGGTAGGAATTGGCAGACTACACGGTTTATGGAAGTTGAAGTAGCAATAAGATTGCTGTATATGTTGGCAGAAGCTCTTCCAGTATCTCATGGTGCCCACTTCTCAGGTGATGTTTCAAAAGCTAGTGCTTTGCAGGATATGATGCGAACTGTAAGTATACTGAAGATAATTTATTTTGAACATAAATTTTCTGTTTTCAGTATAAGCTAATGGAAGTTACTTGTTAGAACTTAGTATATGTTAATACTGGGGCATTTTGATGTAATAAATAAGAGGTTTCTTAACTTTTTCCTGCTCTAGCTGGTCACATCTGGAGTCAGTTCCTATCAGCATACATCTGTGACGCTGGAGTTCTTTGAAACTATTGTTAGATATGAAAAGTTTTTCACAGTTGAACCTCAACACATTCCATGTGTATTAGTAAGTATACATTTTTACTCTGGATTTTTGTTACTTTCTGTGAATTTCAGCTAATGAGTTGATAGTGTCGTATTTTTCTGTCTATAACTTTTTTCATAGTCAAAAGCTCTCAGGAACGCTTGGCACATACTGAAAGTAACCCCTCCTCCATTTCTTTTAGATGGATAGTTTCTGCCCAATTAGTCTTCTTAAACTAGTTCTCAAGCGTCTGTGTGTAGTTTAGAATTACTTTTATATTCCTGGTCCCTGCCTTTTAGGAGCTAAGAAGTAAAATTTGGTGCGAACAAAAATGTAGCATGACAATATCAACAAAAGTCTTGAAAAAGGGCAGAAATAGTAAAAGTACCTCTTTCTTTAGATGGCTTTCTTAGATCACAGAGGTCTGCGGCATTCCAGTGCAAAAGTTCGGAGCAGGACGGCCTACCTGTTTTCTAGATTTGTCAAATCTCTTAAGTAAGTATAAAATTGCAGCTATTATGTTTAGTTATTTTTTAAGTTACTGAATAGCTGTAAAACAATAGTAAAGACATAGAATCAACCTAGGTGCCCATCAATGGTGGATTAGATAAAGAAAATATAGTACACATACACCATGAAATACTAAACAGCCGTAACAAAAAACAAAATCATGTCTTTTGCAGCAACGTGGATGCAGCTGGAGGCCTTTCTCCTAAGCAGATTACTGCAGAAACAAAAAACCAAATGTGACATGTTCTCATTTATAAGTAGGAGCTAAATCTTGTATACACACAGGCATAAAGCTGGGAACAAAAGACACTTGGGACTCCAAATGAGGGAGAGAGTGGGGCAAGTGCTGAAAAACTTCCTGTTGGGTACTGTGTTCAACATCTGGGTGATGGGATTGGATCAATGGAAGCACAAACCTTAGCATCCCATGACATACCCTTGTAACAAACCTCCATGTGTACCCCCAAATTTAAAATGAAGTTGGAGGCCTGGCACAAAAGGTGGCCCACGCCTGTAATCCCAGTGCTTTGGGAGGCCAAGGCCGGTGGATCACCTCAGGTCAGGAATTTGAGACTAGCCTGGTCAACATGGTGAAACTCCCTCTCTACTGAAAATACAGAAAATTAGCTGGGCATGGTGATGGGTGCCTGTAATCCCAGCTACTTGGGAGGCGGAGGCAGGAGAATTACTTGAACCCGGGAGGCAGATTTGCAGTCAGCCAAAATCATGCCATTGTACTCCAGCCTGGGCAACGAGAGTGAAACTCTCTCAAGAAAATAAAATGAAGATGGAAATGAAAAAAAAAAAAAAAGAAGACATAAAAATTATTTTCCAAAAGCCTTCCTGTTCCAAGTCATGGTTTGTCAGGTAGATGTCCCTATTTTTATTTTTGAGACGGAGTTTCACTCTTGTTTTCCAGGCCGAAGTACAATGGCACAATCTTGGCTCACTGCAACCTCTGGCTCCTGGGTTGAAGCGATTCTCCTGCCTCAGCCTCCCAGTTAGCTGGGATTACAGGTGCCTACCACCATACCCAGTTAATTTTTTGTATTTTTAGTAGAGATGGGGGTTTCACCATGTTGGTCAGGCTGGTCTTGAACTCCTGATCTCAGATGATCCAACCTCTTCAGCCTCCCAAAGTGCTGGAATTATAGGTATGAGCCACCATGCCCAGCCCGCTTTTATGTTGCCACTTCTTTCCTGCTCATCAGCCAATTACTTAGTTCTATACTAACAGTTTTTATTTTTTTAAATTTTTATTTATTTATTTATTTTTATTTATTTATTTATTTTTTGAGACGGAGTTTCCCTCTTGTTACCCAGGCTGGAGTGCAATGGCACAATCTCAGCTCACCGAAACCTCTGCCTCCTGGGTTCAGGCAATTCTCCTGCCTCAGCCTCCTGAGCAGCTGGGATTACAGGCACGCGCCACCATGCCCAGCTATGTTTTGTATTTTTAGTAGAGACGGGGTTTCACCATGTTGACCAGGATGGTCTTGATCTCTTGACCTCGTGATCCACCCGCCTCGGCCTCCCAAAGTGCTGGGATTACAGGCTTGAGCCACTGCGCCCGGCCAAAAGTTTTTATTTTTTGTTTGTTTGTTTATTTTTTTTGAGACAGGGTCTCACTCTGTTGCCTAGGCTGGAGTGCAGTGGCCTGATTCCAGTTCACTGCAACGTCAACCTCCTCAGGCTCAAGTGATCTTCCCACCTTAGCCTCCCAGGCACCTGGGACTACAGGCGTGTGATGATGGCCAGCTAATTTTTTTGTTGTTGTTGAGACTGAGTCACCTTGTCACTCAGGCTGGGAGTGCAGTGGCGCAATCTCGGTTTACTGTGACCTCTGCCTCCTAGGTTCAAGCAATTCTGCCTCAGCCTCCTGAGTAGCTGGGATTACAGGCACGCACCACCATGCCCAGCTAATTTTTGTATTTTTAGTAGAGATGGGGTTTCACCATGTTGGTCAGGCTGGTCTTGAACTTCTGACCTTATGATCTGCCTGCCTCAGCCTCCCAGAGTGCTAGGATTACGGGCATGGGCCACCATTCCCAGCCTAGGCGGCTAATTTTTGTGTTTTTTGTGGAATCGAGGTCTCACCATGTTGCCCAGGCTGGTCTCAAATTCCTCAGCTCAACCTTCCTGCCTTGGCCTCCCAAAGCGTTAGGATTACAGAAATGGCATTACAGGCCACTGCACCTGGCCTGTATTCTTTACTAGTATCATTTTTGGGGAATGAAAACTACTCCTTATTAGGCTTATAAGATTGAAAGTCATTTTGACAGTCTTATCACTACAGAACAGATAAAGGTAATTTTTAAAAATTAACCACAGCTAGGCCGGGCACGGTGGCTCACGCCTGTAATCCCAGCACTTTGGGAGACCGAGGCGGGTGGATCACGAGGTCAAGAGATCGAGACCATCCTGGTCAACATGGTGAAACCCTGTCTCTACTAAAACTACAAAAAATTAGCTGGACATGGTGGGGCGTGCCTGTAATCCCAGCTACTTGGGAGGCTGAGGCAGGAGAATTGCCTGAACACAGGAGGCAGAGGCAGCGGGGAGCCGAGATCACACCATTGCACTCCAGCCTGGGTAACAAGAGCGAAACTCCGTCTCCAAAAAAAAAAAAAAAAAATTAACCACAGCTCTTAATCAGATGTGACTAGCCTGCAACTGAACTTTTAGTTCTGTCTTAAAGGGGGGATTTGGTACTTTAGCACTGTTTTGAGCACTGCTATTAATTGTGATTTTCTTTTTTGCTGTTTTTTAGTAAGCAAATGAATCCTTTCATTGAAGATATTTTGAATAGAATACAAGATTTATTAGAGCTTTCTCCACCTGTAAGTATCTGTCTCTTTAAGATATTTTACCCAAAAATCATTGAAGCCACCCATGCCATTATTGTCTCTGGGCATTTTAAAAAACAAAACAAAACTGGTGGTGGAGGGAGATGTATGTGCAAATATTAGTTCTGTTTACTAAAATTCTGTTGGTATAGTAAACAAAACAGTAATAGGAATCAAGTGTTGACCGATCAATTTGACAGCATGGGGTATATTGTTAAAATGTTGAAGCATTTAATGGAGAAGAAAAAATTCATTAAAGATGAGTTTGCTGGCCGGGCGCGGTGGCTCAAGCCTGTAATCCCAGCACTTTGGGAGGCCGAGGCGGGTGGATCACGAGGTCAAGAGATCGAGACCATCCTGGTCAACATGGTGAAACCCCGTCTCTACTAAAAATACAAAAACATTAGCTGGGCATGGTGGTGCGTGCCTGTAATCCCAGCTACTCAGGAGGCTGAGGCAGGAGAATTGCCTGCACCCAGGAGGCGGAGGTTGCGGTGAGCCG